GGCACCTTTAGAAAATTTTAGGGTTGGTTGCCCCAAATTGATGCCAAACTAGTACCAAAAGGGGACCCTCTGGGTCGTCAGATGGCCTAGAGGCTTCCACCATCAAACACCCCCCCCCCCCACCCTACGCTCAAATCCGCTACTGCAGGGATGTAAGCACTGTAACAGAAGCAAGCGCTGCGGGTCAGTTTGAATAATCACTATATTAACGACATGAAGCTTGCTATTCAAAACGGCTTCTTTTTGAAATACACACAACATTTAACATTTACTTCAATGCACTTGTTTTCGTGTCAACTTCGATTTCACAGTGGTCCCAAACGTTATTTTAGTCAGAAAAAAAATTAATAAAAAGAAAGGAAAAAACTAATTTTCTAGAGGTATTCGAAAAAATCCTAAACACCAGCTGTCTAGAAATTTATTGCGAGATTGAAGATTTTCCAGTGAGAGAAAATCAACAGAACGTGGAAATTTTTTACGAGCACAGCAAACAAAGCAGAATGATAACAAATATGACAAAACAGAATGAAAAAAAACTTTGATGACCATTTTTGAGGTCAACCAAATTGATTTTCCGAGTTGAACATACAGACATAATTTCGTCCCGCATATTGGAAAAAACAGGTCAAAAATGCCGTTTCTGGGCACTTCTTAGAAATTTTTTGATAAAATTTGCGTTTTTTAGTGCGCGCTTTCTTCAAATTTAGTGTATATTGGCGCCAGGGCGCCTTTTGAAAAATTTAGGGTTTATTGTCGAAAATTGATGCCATAAATCAGTACCAAAAGGGGGGCCTTTTGAGTCGTCGAGGGCCAAAATGTTAAAAAGCGAAACATTCTGAGAGCTCTTCTTTGGTGATATTTTTCGATCCTAAATTCAGACTGACCAACAGGATCGGCATGTTTTTCTAAGAATTCAGCTGCGGTGCAGTAGCTTCTACCGAAGTTATTAATAAGACAGAAAACCCCAAAAGACTGTTCAGTTAACTCTAAAATTCGACCTAATTTTCAAATCTGATGAAAAATGGGCTCGCGGAAATATACTTTATTTCAAGCAACATTAATGCAAACTTATTCGTATTCATTCAATGTAGTTTTTATTAGCTGTTTTTACTAATATACATTTCAAGCAAAATTGTTGCAAACTTATTCGTACTTAATTCAATTTAGTTTATATTAGCTGTATTTACTACGAAAATCAAGGCTCGTTTTGAGCTATGTTTTTTGAACAAAATATCGTTCCTGGGAAAACTCAAATCAAATTTCAGAATAAATTTAAAGTTTCCGAAAAATTCAATCATCGTAAATTGGATGAAACCCAAACTAAAATTGTAAAACTTTTGTGCTAAGCAGCAAGCAAGCAAATTCCATATAGTTTTGCCCTCGAAACCACGCAAAATAAACTCAATAGTCCGATAAAACGTCAGCCGAAACTGTTTAATCGGAAGAGGAAAAAAACGAAATATATGTCACTATCACTCGAAAAGAATGGGTAAAACGTATAGTCAGTTGATTTGTGTAGACAGATGTTGGCTAGATTCGGTAGTGTGCAGACGAGCTTTAACATATCTATCCCTTTGTCATGATAAAATTCAATCATTTTCTGCATAGCATCAAGGGTAGGAACAACATCTTTGTTGTTATACCACCGTAGAAAGTCGCGACATGTTGTCAACTTTTCCTGTTCCCAGATAGATTTAAGGTAGTTGTAGTTTTCCAATCCCGTAGCTGGTTTGGTTTTGAGACCGAGTTTTTTCAAGGCTTGCTCTTCAGTTATCCCAGTGTTAAGAAGTTTTTGATAATCATCAAACTCTTTATCGAGAGGGTTACTATTCTTCAGTTTGCTGTAGAAGTCATCATACGAGGGTAGTTGTTGTTCATCAAGCTTGTTCGGAGTATCAAACCACTCGTATGGAAAGTATCCTTTCAGCTCACTGGCTTTGTAAGCTTTTAGAAAAGAGTCTAAGGTAGTAGCTCCACCCAAAAACTTCATAATGTCCAGAAGCTGAACATATCCAAATTTGAATGAAACAAAGTCGTTTGCTTTCTTGATAACTGATGGTTCAATTTCTTTTTCGTTGATAAGGTGGGGAATGAGGTATGATTTAATGAGGTTTATATCATACCGACCACTGTTGAATCCAAATACTGGTAGAGTATTGGTCTATCTTTCTAGATGTTGCATCAAATCAATCAATTGATTTTTTGAATCCTGAGAAAGTGAGTGGATGCGTCTGTTTCTTCCTCATTCTCGATACATTCATCTTCGTACTCTCTTGCTTCAATCTTGTTGAAACTAACTCGTTCATTAAGTATGCTGAAAATTGTGTGTAATCGCTTTTTGATGTTATTTTCAATTTCCAGAAACTTTGATCGCATTTCGGTTTTATTTTTTTCGGCTAACAACTCCAAGTTTGCCACAAAGTCAATAATGAGGGATTGTGGATCGTTGTCACACAAAAAAATGGGTTTGTCAAGCAAATTGGATGAAATTGACACTGATATGGGTTCATGCTTCCCGATCCAAGGTATTGTTTCGGTTGGTTTTAGTTCTTCGGATGGCACGCAAATTGATTCAAAGTCAAAAATAGCGACATTTTTGAATAAGGTTTGTTCTTTTGTGTACTCAATATTGAACCCATCCAGTTTTTCAAATAACGTCTCTCGTAGAGTATAAACATTTTTGGGGTAAATGTTTTTGATTTGATCTTTGCATCGTAGGAGATGCTTGTTGAAGTGGTCTGCTTTGTGGAAAAATGTATCGCAAGTTGGGCATCGGAAGCATTTGAAGAAGTTGTCGATGTTATTGACGTAAATAATGTGGTTGTTGTATCGTAGAAGTTTCACCGTGTTCTCATATTTACCCATACTTCTCCGAGCTAATTCTCCCACGAAGTCTCCATCTTCAATGTTGATATCGTAGATAAAGATGTTTTTCTCTACTACATCTTCAACTAATGGTAGATTATCCATCGAAACTCCACGAAACTGTTTCGGATCACAACCCGATTTCTCCAGAAAATCGTTAAAGATCTTGGAAGTGGATGTTTCAAGACCAGTTGTTCCATGTAAATGAACTGCAAGCTCTCGAAGCAAACACAAATTTTTATTGTATGGTTGTTTTGTGTCTTGATTCGAAATCAAACAATTAACATGGTTATTCTTCAGAAGTGGTTCGGGAATCACAGAATCTGGACATCCCATAGGTACGTTTTTCACTAAGGCTGCAAAAATGGTCACATTAGTGATCAGCTTGAATCGCCATTTCGTATTTTGTCTCTCTTGTGTACAAATTTCAATGATATCTTGCTTATTGACCTTGTTCTGTATAGTTGTCAAGTCTGCTTTAGTACAAAGTAGTATAGATTTATCAAAGAGTTTGTTATTTTCATGAGCGTAGAAATAACGATATTCGCTGGTTTCTATATTACGTAACACAAATCCCAAGGCAATGTTGATTTTTGCTGCACAATCAAGTTTTTCAAAGACTTGATCCATTTTTTCATTAACTAGATTAGGATCTAGTTTTGAAAGTTGAAAATTGAATACGTTGTGGCGTCCATTTTCCATCTCAGTATCTGTCAAAAAGTGTTGACAGGCATTCAACTCATCTCGTAGCATACATCCAAAAAAATAGTCGTGACATTTACTATTCCGAATCAACTGGCCACATGAAAAACGTGCTAATTGCAAAAACAATCATAGGAAGCCAAAAACCAAGTTGAGTCGTTATAAAAAGTGAGTAAGACTGCTCGTATTTCAGTGCAAAGCGTTGACTGTTCCGACTGCCCAGGAACTGGTCTCGAATATTTATTGGTAAATAACACATTGACATACTATGAATTTAGAGCTGATAATTTTCAACAGTAAGAGTTAAAATTTGAGTGGTTCATAGATTTATTCCGACAAAGTAACATGTCTCACAATTTTGTAGAGCGAGATAATTTGCCACGCATAAATAATTCGCGTTACACTTTAAGCATCAAAGTTTTAATAGAGCTGCTCAATTAGACTCGTTTCAGGGTGCCAATAGACTCAGGTGAGTTTATAAAAAACTATCCCAACAATATAAATTCCTCATTTTTCAAATCAGAAATCGGAACCACAAATGCAATAAGAACAATCTAAATGTTGTTTCGTGGATATGACAAACTCACAATTTAAACATCGATTGTGTTTATAATGGCTTATTTCTGGGGTGCAAAGACTACACCAACTAAGTCGATATTAATGCAGATTGTATGAATTTGTTAATGAACTCCACATACTGTCATGGGTTCCAGTAAAAAGCGAATTATTGGTTTGTGGATTTCGCGCGTTCCTTTCAATGTTCAGCGTATTAGACAGTGGATTCAACTACAAACAAAAATATAATGGAAAGATGACTCTCTCATGCAATTCTAACTCGACTTAACTAATTGTTCTCAATTCGCGCTTTAACACTAGAAATAATTCGGCAACTAAGCCGACCAAACTTAAAGCGAATACCATGAAAGCCGGAAACAATTCATTCGATAGTTAATGAAAAAGGTGCGGTTATATATTAAATTTGCGTTTTCATCCCAATTTTATCCTCCACTCCTATGCGAAGTGGAAAATAGGAGTTATATTGTTGTCGATTTAACATGTTTAGTAGTGAAATAACTAAGTGTTAAAAAGTACGGTGTTAAATTGTATGTCATTAAATTGTAGGACACCATGCGAAATAATTTTATCGAAGCTAAGTTGAATTTACGACAAACAAACGAAGAGCCGATGCTGCACTTCGCAAACGCACAAAAAACTACCAAAATTATCTCTAAAAAGGCCATCCTCTCCTAAATTCTGGTTGACATATTTGATCATCTTTGCAATTATTTGTCGACAGCTTTTTCTGACTGATCAATCCTAAAGGACATTCGCCAATTGACACTAAATTTGAAGGTGGAGCGCAAAAAAAATCGATAAAGCTCATTACGAACATGGCAAAAATGATAGCAGAATGGGCTTGAAAAACATTTCAGTTCAGAAGTCATTTTTATTAAACTAGTTGGTTACAGGGAAACAGAATAGTACCCGATTTGATAACATTGCTTATCACAAAAGAAATTAGATACAAAGGCATCTTTATAAAGTAAATATAAGACAGAAAAGACATTTAATCAGTTGAAGCTACAGTTCAGTTACACTAAAGTAGAGTTCTAGCGGTCTATTCTTAGGCATACTGTATTCTGACATGACAAAAGATAGCGTGGAGTCTTTTTGCAGTTCCATAAATTCAGGAGGATTGCTTTGTCGTTTTCGTGCGAAGAACACTATTTCACTAGTGTCCAAATCCGTTTCGCCGTTTGAAGGTTGGAGAAACTCTTGGATCTCATCTTTGCGCAGTTTGACATACAATGCAATGTGTTCAATGGTGGCGTCTCTCACTGTCTTGAGGAACTTGCAAATCGGAATCTGGTCTGGGTCGAACTGGTTTGTTTCGCTATTCTGTGTTTGATCACTCATCTGGTTCGATTCATCCTCTTCCCCCTCTGTATTCGAGCTTCCCTCCTGCTTCAGAACATCTTCAGTCTTCACTGAAGGGCCCTCTTTCGGCTTTAGTCTGAGAATTATGTCGATGTTGCTTTTGGCCGCACTGTTTGAACTCACAGCTGAATTTCCAGTGCCTGATTTCGGGGCCTTGACTCCTGTTGGCTCTGTGTTTTCCCTCCTCGGGGCTTTCCGGTTGCCGGGTGTCGCATCTCCCGACGAGTCGTTTGAGTCTGCAGTAGCACCTCGCGAAATTCGCTTTCGCCTTCCCGACTGTTCTGTATTGCTTTCATCCCTGCAAAAACAATTACTTCCCAACATTAAGGGGCACATTAAATTCTAGTGTAGAGCCCAACAAATACTCTAAGATGAATTTTAACAATACGCTTCAGTCGCCCGATAAACTTCTCATTATAACTTGCTTATATTCATAAAGGTCTTATCTTATCTTTAAGGCTACAGTCAGAATTCTGAACATTACAAAAAATCCCCTGAACCATCCAAGCCTACCATCAACAACCAAGGATAGTTTCTTCCATTATTGATATATACTGATTAAACGCGATAACTTCACAAGCCATTAATTGTTGCTATTTCAGCAACATATTCATGCTACAAAAATTCATGAATAGCAACACATACATACATATTGTCATCGTGTTCATCGGTGGTTCCGTTCGGTGGAATTGGACTGTCGGCGGGTGAATTCATGAAGCTTCCATTAAGGTTGTTGCCAGCAGCAGCAGCAGTGGAGGTGTCACTGCTCTCAGTGGGACATATCTTGGAGATGAGGGCGTCGAAGTTCGGATCCCTTCTGAGAGACCTCTTGGACACCAGTTTGTTCCTACAAGTTGGACACTCCTTATTCCCATTCCTCAGGGCTGTTATGATACACTCCGAGCAGAAGCGATGCAGACACTCCTGCACACAAAAAAAATTTCATTTTATAAAGATCCAGAAACAATTTGGACAAACTTCAACCATCGCTGTCCAAAACATTATAGAGTGGTTGTTTTCAAGATATCTCAAATGGATGTTAAAAGCACTCCCATAGTTAAATAACTAGAGTTTGAAAAATTGTGATTGTGATGTTTGGCATGTTTTACTTTACACAGCCAACCAACTATTGGACGAAAACTAAGGAAAAGCAACGTTGTAAAGGTCACTTAAGTTTGTTGGTTAGATTGGAAAACACACGAATGGTCTAATTTCAAGCTTGAAGCTCGGAATTTCAAGCTCGAAGCTCGGAATTTCAAACTCGAAGCTTTCTATTCAAGGAAACAAACATGACACTTGTTAGTTTATCAATCATCCTTGTGAATCCTTGAATATATATGATTTTGACTCTTAACAATTCAGCAGAGTTGGTTACTACTGCTATGCTATATGAGGTTATTAGTGTTGTTCTAATATGATCAACAATGAATGAGTGAGGAAAACAAAAGATGAAGTGGGTGAATGACCTTTGTGGTCATGGTGTTGGACATGACATCCAGACAGATGGGACACATGAGTTCTGAGTGGAGTATGCGGGGGTTGATCTTGATCTCGGTGTCGTCAGTGACTGCCTCCTGGGGCCTCCTCTGCAACTCATACAGACTCAACTCCCACGTCTTCAACACCACCTCACGTTTCTCCATCACTATCAATCCACTCACAATTACTCCACACTAACTAAACAAAAATAAATTGATTAAAATACGACATTTATTGAATTCACTCTTGCAAAATTAAAACCTAGTCAATAGACAGTTGGAAAAGTGACGATGAACCCAAGAAAACTGAAAAGAAAGATTGACCTACTTTTGGACCTTTTTCAACTTCCCAACTTCGGAGAGAAAACTTTACAGAAAACTAAATTCGATACAAAAATGTCGAAGAAACTTCGAACAAACTTTTTCTTTCAGCAAATAGCCAGACAGACGATAGTCTAAAATAGCCAAAAACTTCCAGTTCGCAAAAACACAAGTCCCGGCCGGATTCGAACTCCCATCATTTGTCGTCCCAAGCGTCTTACTTACAGATTTCTTATTGATGCGTCAACTGCGCACAATGACCCGTTGAATTTAAATTAATCAAGAGTCAATTGAAACACTTGGAGCATTTCACATGCGAATTCTGTGAGCTATGATCTTTACGGGGGTGTGTATGTTGGATGTTGGAACTTCTAGCCGAAGCCTTCGGGAGATGATTCCTATGGACTTCTTCGGTAGATGAATCATGTGAAAAAATTTGCTCACGGAAAAAACCTTCAATTCGATTGCAGTACACTTAACGCGTCAATAAAAATCAACGCGACCTACAAAGTGTCTTCATTGCGTTAATTGACACTAAAACATTTCTAACATATTTTGAGAAGAAGGATAACGTGACAATAAAACTCAACGCGACCTACAAAGTGTCTTCATTGCGTTCATTGACACTTAGACATTTCTAACATACTTTGAAAGGAAGGATAACGTGACAAGGTGGTCCAGTCAAGGCCTTCACAATATGCCGACTGACAGCTTTCAACAACACTCGTCGGTATAAAGATTACCAGTTGGTCCGATGAGATTGTATGCTAGGTTCTTATGACTAATTAGATCGGCCGGTAAATATCAACCGCTATAGGCTCTGTCATTCCATATACCATCTATAACAAACAAATATTAAAACTTTCCATAAACAAATTTAAAACAGCGTTCAAAACAAAATGAAACTGTAATTGTGAATTACAAACTCGAAAAATGGTGACATTAAAAGTTGAGCTATCGCAAACGGACAATAGAATGTTAGTTGTTTGAGCGCAAACTAAGGCCACCTTTTAGCTTCTTGAAGTTGATCTAAGAAGCTTCGCATTTAAAGAGCACACATCAAAACAAACGAAAGTAAACTAAGGTAAACCACGGATGGCATTTAGGAAAAAATCAGTACAGCTGCATCCGATTAATCTCTATATTACATAAATGTGGGCAAAATTCATACCACTGAAGCTGTGATATATATTCAACTCAAAACTAAAACAATAGCCCAAGATGGTGGACGTTGCACCTCCGACAACTGAAAACGCCACGCCCAGCCCCCTTCCTTCGGGTACTCGCAGACGGTCAATAAATTCGCAAACATCCACAGCCAACAGACATCGCCGCATACGTACCAGTGTTGCAAAGGAGCTGACTCGCTATGCCAGATCGAAGAGGAAGCTCCTAAGAACACTAGAAGAAGCCCAGTTGACTCAGAGGGAAATTGGAGATCTTCAAGACTTCCGGGTCAAAATCGAGTGCCTGATAACGGCACTGAACAAAAACCCTGTCTTTCTCATTTTCGGTCAATCGTTCAACGTCAAGGCCAGAATAGCCGAGATGTTAATCGGAGAAAAGTTCTACTTCTCAGCACAACAATTTAACAACAACCTTACGCAAAGAACAGTGAAGGTGATCTACGGAAAGAAAGTGAGCTACACAATCTCGGTCGACGGGGACAACCACGAGGACTTCGATTTCGTCGAGAGTCCTTCGATGGGCCAACACTCCAGTACCTTCAGTGCTTCCGGATACGACAGCTCAGAGGCTCCCGACTTGACTCAGGTGCCGACTATCGAGATAAACGAAGTGGACATGAAACGACTCTCGCAGTGCAGTCGTTCAATTGAGATCCGACTGAACAACGAGCTACTCCGGGACAACACGAGCGTTGTGATGACAACTACGAACAACAAGTTCTACGACACCAAGCAGATATTTCTTCAGGCGACAAATGAGCACTTTCCGATCGTGATTTACGGTCTAGAATCGCCACAGCTGACAGACAAAGACAAAGCAGACATCAAACAACTGCGCGAATGTTGCACGAATGAACTTCAATTTCTGTTTCTAACCATGGAGATAACGCGTGACTCTGAGTTTACTGAATCGCAACAGGACATTTTGTGGCAGGTAATGGAGAATGATCTCAGAGACGTTGGAGTAGTGGAGTCCTTACCGGAACAACTGGAAAAATGCATAAGTAATGACAGCAAACTCTTGGTGACTGCGGACACATCTTTCCAGTCTCCAGATCCCAACAAAGCTTCAGAAGCCCAAGGAACAGAAAACAATAATGAAGCCAATAACGAGAACAGAGACGATGTTTCACAACATTCGATGCCTCCAATGCTAGATGACGAGGACTCGTTTCCACGAATGAGAACTAACAGTACATTGCGCACTATGAGCATCATGAGAGCCACAGGGAGTGAAGTTAGTGTGTTGACCAACAGCCGTCTGGCTCCGTTCAACAATTTCCTGGAACAGCTGGAAATGTTCGTCAAGGAAGTTTTAAAGCAAAGGACAATAACCAAATCGGACGAAGCGCGCTTCCTTCTCACAGAGTTCTTGGAAGACTGCATCAGCACTACATATCAGTTCACAAAAGATGCCAAACTGATTCCAGTTCGGATCAAATGGGCCAAAGAGCAAGAAGAAAAACTGTACAATGCACTGTTGGCAGTCTCAACTGAGAAGCAACACGAGATCAGAGCCATCATCAAGAAGAGCCTCGACGAATCACAGAACGTGCTAATCGACACGGCTGAGCGACATACATTCACTACGGCTATAAGCAGCAGCGACGTCAGCCTCAACAGCAAGAGCATGAGAAACGAGAGAAGGGAGCTAGAAGAAACATTGATTCGTAAACTGAACGAAATCATTGCGGAGAACCTCGTGGGGTCGGTTCGCATGCTGCGAGCGACGATGATCGAAACGCTTCAGAGAACAGTCCAATCACTCGAGGAGACAAGTCCCAACATGGAAGCCAGTCTAGAATCCTCAACATCAACATTAGTGACGGGTTTCTCTGCCAAAAACGCCCTGCATGAGATACTTAATGCAGCTTATCGGATCGAAATCAATTCGCGCAACACCTTGTCATTGAGAGCGATCATCTTCGAGAAGCTCAAATTTCTGTTCAGCAACCTCGGAAGCCCCACCGAAGTGAATGAGGATTGGCGAAGACGAGTAGCCAACCAGATCATAGAAAAAATAAGCGAAGAAAAACTCTCCAAAGAAGTGTGCTTCCAATTCAAAGCTAACGTCGAGAGGGCACACAGTGAATTCTTGACCAGCATCGACAGCATTCAAGAGTCTCAGATACAGAAAATGGACATGCAAGCGGAGAAGAGTCGCAAACTGAAAAAGAGCTACTCCCCCAAACTGGCTAGATTCGTGCTAGAGAGCACGTGTTATCGCGACTACGCTCAGTATGGAATGCCGAGGTACGAACAGGAAATTGGGCGGGGCCAGTACGGAGTGGTTTACTCGAGTAGAAGGTGGGGTCCCTTCGGACCATGTGCCATTAAAAGTGTAGCACCTCCAGATGAGAAGCACTGGAACAGTCTGGCAATGGAGTTCTACTACACGCGGTCACTTCCTGAGCACCCCAGGATTGTGCAGATCAGAGGTTGTGTGATTGACAGCACTTACGGCAGTGGATCCGGGGCAGTGCTGCTAATCATGGACAAGATGCGACGGGATCTGCACACTGCCATCAGACAAGGAATGCCCCTCATTCCTCGACTGCAGGTCACATATAAATATTATGCCTATAAAACTTTCCTCATCTGCGAGCTTGAAAACAAAGAAGCACAAAATGTTCCGAAAAATCATTTCAGTAATAAAATTCTAAAATTAGGGAAAAACTAAATAACAAAACTAATTTTTTATAGATTTTTTTCTGGTGAAAGGTGATGAAATTACTGCATGATTAGCGGTAACAATAGCTAAAATAACGTTTAAGTTACAGTAGAATAATATTGAGTATCATTGAAATTCAGTTTGACAAAACAAGGGTGGTAAAAATCGAGTAAAAAATTGACCATAAGTCATAGTTACTTGCCTTCACGAAGAATACGAAACCACAAGAAAAGCCGCTTGCTAGGCAACTAGCACAGAATAATCCGATGGTCGGAAAAGCATGCAAAAAAGATCAGAAAAAATTCGAAATTTGCTGACACTTTTTTTATGTATCAGCAAAAGTTTAATGAAACTGATCAAAAATTAAAGAAAACACAGAAGCGAAGCAGAGCAAGCAAAGCAAAAATCAACACAGAGGCGAAGTTGCACTTCGCATACACAAGCAAAATATGACCGATAACGCTACTGGGAAAAACTGAATTAGTAAAACTTTGAGTCTACAAAATTTCTCAAGTGACGCAGGCCAATTATGAGTCTACATAATTGCCGAATGACGCAAGCCAATTATGACGGATTAGCAGTACCAGTCAATTTGAAAAAACTCATCAACTAACATGCATCAATTTATAGATCGGACGCATTTTAACTATTATACGAAAAAGTTCATTAAAAACATCCGACCTTGCACAGGTTCGAACCCTCTTATTTTGTTGCTGGTCTCCTTCCCTGCCTCTACGCTACAAATCCATGATAAATGCTAGATGACGAGGACTCGTTTCCACGAATGAGAACTAACAGTACATTGCGCACTATGAGCATCATGAGAGCCACAGGGAGTGAAGTTAGTGTGTTGACCAACAGCCGTCTGGCTCCGTTCAACAATTTCCTGGAACAGCTGGAAATGTTCGTCAAGGAAGTTTTAAAGCAAAGGACAATAACCAAATCGGACGAAGCGCGCTTCCTTCTCACAGAGTTCTTGGAAGACTGCATCAGCACTACATATCAGTTCACAAAAGATGCCAAACTGATTCCAGTTCGGATCAAATGGGCCAAAGAGCAAAAAGAAAAACTGTACAATGCACTGTTGGCAGTCTCAACTGAGAAGCAACACGAGATCAGAGCCATCATCAAGAAGAGCCTCGACGAATCACAGAACGTGCTAATCGACACGGCTGAGCGACATACATTCACTACGGCTATAAGCAGCAGCGACGTCAGCCTCAACAGCAAGAGCATGAGAAACGAGAGAAGGGAGCTAGAAGAAACATTGATTCGTAAACTGAACGAAATCATTGCGGAGAACCTCGTGGGGTCGGTTCGCATGCTGCGAGCGACGATGATCGAAACGCTTCAGAGAACAGTCCAATCACTCGAGGAGACAAGTCCCAACATGGAAGCCAGTCTAGAATCCTCAACATCAACATTAGTGACGGGTTTCTCTGCCAAAAACGCCCTGCATGAGATACTTAATGCAGCTTATCGGATCGAAATCAATTCGCGCAACACCTTGTCATTGAGAGCGATCATCTTCGAGAAGCTCAAATTTCTGTTCAGCAACCTCGGAAGCCCCACCGAAGTGAATGAGGATTGGCGAAGACGAGTAGCCAACCAGATCATAGAAAAAATAAGCGAAGAAAAACTCTCCAAAGAAGTGTGCTTCCAATTCAAAGCTAACGTCGAGAGGGCACACAGTGAATTCTTGACCAGCATCGACAGCATTCAAGAGTCTCAGATACAGAAAATGGACATGCAAGCGGAGAAGAGTCGCAAACTGAAAAAGAGCTACTCCCCCAAACTGGCTAGATTCGTGCTAGAGAGCACGTGTTATCGCGACTACGCTCTGTATGGAATGCCGAGGTACGAACAGGAAATTGGGCGGGGCCAGTACGGAGTGGTTTACTCGAGTAGAAGGTGGGGTCCCTTCGGACCATGTGCCATTAAAAGTGTAGCACCTCCAGATGAGAAGCACTGGAACAGTCTGGCAATGGAGTTATACTACACGCGGTCACTTCCTGAGCACCCCAGGATTGTGCAGATCAGAGGTTGTGTGATTGACAGCACTTACGGCAGTGGATCCGGGGCAGTGCTGCTAATCATGTACAAGATGCGACGGGATCTGCACACTGCCATCAGACAAGGAATGCCCCTCATTCCTCGACTGCAGGTCACATATAAATATTATGCCTATAAAACTTTCCTCATCTGCGAGCTTGAAAACAAAGAAGCACAAAATGTTCCGAAAAAACATTTCAGTAATAAAATTCTAAAATTAGGGAAAAACTAAATAACAAAACTAATTTTTTATAGATTTTTTTCTGGTGAAAGGTGATGAAATTACTGCATGATTAGCGGTAACAATAGCTAAAATAACGTTTAAGTTACAGTAGAATAATATTGAGTATCATTGAAATTCAGTTTGACAAAACAAGGGTGGTAAAAATCGAGTAAAAAATTGACCATAAGTCATAGTTACTTGCCTTCACGAAGAATACGAAACCACAAGAAAAGCCGCCTGCTAGGCAACTAGCACAGAATAATCCGATGGTCGGAAAAGCATGCAAAAAAGATCAGAAAAAATTCGAAATTTGCTGACACTTTTTTTATGTATCAGCAAAAGTTTAATGAAACTGATCAAAAATTAAAGAAAACACAGAAGCGAAGCAGAGCAAGCAAAGCAAAAATCAACACAGAGGCGAAGTTGCACTTCGCATACACAAGCAAAATATGACCGATAACGCTACTGGGAAAAACTGAATTAGTAAAACTTTGAGTCTACAAAATTTCTCAAGTGACGCAGGCCAATTATGAGTCTACATAATTGCCGAATGACGCAAGCCAATTATGACGGATTAGCAGTACCAGTCAATTTGAAAAAACTCATCAACTAACATGCATCAATTTATAGATCGGACGCATTTTAACTATTATACGAAAAAGTTCATTACAAACATCCGACCTTGCACAGGTTCGAACCCTCTTATTTTGTTGCTGGTCTCCTTCCCTGCCTCTACGCTACAAATCCATGATAAATGCTAGATGACGAGGACTCGTTTCCACGAATGAGAACTAACAGTACATTGCGCACTATGAGCATCATGAGAGCCACAGGGAGTGAAGTTAGTGTGTTGACCAACAGCCGTCTGGCTCCGTTCAACAATTTCCTGGAACAGCTGGAAATGTTCGTCAAGGAAGTTTTAAAGCAAAGGACAATAACCAAATCGGACGAAGCGCGCTTCCTTCTCACAGAGTTCTTGGAAGACTGCATCAGCACTACATATCAGTTCACAAAAGATGCCAAACTGATTCCAGTTCGGATCAAATGGGCCAAAGAGCAAAAAGAAAAACTGTACAATGCACTGTTGGCAGTCTCAACTGAGAAGCAACACGAGATCAGAGCCATCATCAAGAAGAGCCTCGACGAATCACAGAACGTGCTAATCGACACGGCTGAGCGACATACATTCACTACGGCTATAAGCAGCAGCGACGTCAGCCTCAACAGCAAGAGCATGAGAAACGAGAGAAGGGAGCTAGAAGAAACATTGATTCGTAAACTGAACGAAATCATTGCGGAGAACCTCGTGGGGTCGGTTCGCATGCTGCGAGCGACGATGATCGAAACGCTTCAGAGAACAGTCCAATCACTCGAGGAGACAAGTCCCAACATGGAAGCCAGTCTAGAATCCTCAACATCAACATTAGTGACGGGTTTCTCTGCCAAAAACGCCCTGCAAAATACCGAAATCAGTAGGTCAAAAAAATTGAAAACATCTTTTTTGTTCCGACCATTGAAAATGGGGAGGAACTTTGTATTCAGGTGTGTTTTATTTTTTCTTCACGCAAAATCAGGTACCACAAATAATCATCGTACTTCGTTGAGTGATACATATAAAAAAGCCCTTATAGTTGTGATTCGAACCACATTAAAAATTCCCAAAATTTCCAAAAGTTGCCGAGAAAAACCGGCACGAAAACTTTGATTTTTCGTCTTATTTTGAGCGAATTAAGCAATCGAGTAACGTTTGTTGTATACAAAAATTAGCAATTTCGACTTAAAAAATATTGATTTTACTGAAAGGAAAACTAGTTTAGGAAGCTTCCTCTAGCTCTTCTCTGGCAAAAAAAATCAAAAAATATTTCTAACTTTTAGTGCAAAATTTTTTTTGAAAACTTTTCAAAATTTATTTTCGTGTTTTTTAATATTGATTTTTTGAAGACAATTGGAGCCATTTATGCCTAATTCACTAAATTTCCACGCGTTCGAATAGTTGCATCATTAAACAACCAACAAAAAAAGACACTAACTTGAAGAAAAAAAATGTTCAAATAAGAAAAAGCAAAACTCAATTTCAGAAAAACATTAGAGCTAGAGAAACACATATGCCATCGATAAAGCAGATGAAACTTATGCGTAAACCATTTGATTGAAACAAAAAATTACTTTTTTTAATAAAAGAACCTATACCAAATCAAAGTTGGCAAATTTGGTTAAAATTCATTCAAAAATCGAGACAACCAGTGCCAATCAAGTTTTAACCAGAAGAAAACTCCATGCTTTAAAAATAAAGCCAACAATTATGAGCAGACAACTAAGGTCTGACAATGCAATTTTTCCCAAAAAAAAAGTTATTTCATCTTAAAAAAAGGGTCCGGCCGGTATTCGAAATCCAGACCTTCGAGTACAGAGGCGCCCGTATTTTTATAGACATCCTTGAAGTTATTCAGGTACACTAATGAAGCGAGTTCCGCTTTTAACAGATTTGCAAGAAAAATTCGTTTCGGAGAAAAAGTCTAACACCCGATTACAAGTCACTTGTTCTCACAAGAGAAAAAACCTTAAATCTGCTTTTAAAAAGATTGTGCTTTTAAATCTGCTGTTCAAAATAGAGTTAATTTTTTAAAAGGGGTCAATTAAATGGGCCCTTCCATCATGCGACGTTTCGTGCACATGTGAGATAGGGCCATACCAACGCTATATAAACACATCGGCAAAATTTTATGAATAAATCAAATCGCTTTTAAAGCATTCAGAGAATTGTCAATAAAAAACGACCCTCCTCGATTATGGCCTTGAGGGAATTGTCTGTGGTATGTATTTTAAAACAATTTTTGCACCCCCTGAGGCAGAGGATTGCACTCCTCAAAAGTGCAAAACATATTTTTGTTTTAATAAAGTTTTTTGTGTCTGAGTATGATTCGTTCCGTTTTTCGCTTAATTTCTCTGCTAGTTTCTGGACGGTTTCTGTAGAGCCTAGTGCTGCTCCTCCAGTACACGCAAAAATAAGTGGAACATAGCTGCTGTGTTCCACATCCAGAACTCTTTGTTGGTATTTTAATGTTTTGAGTGACTTAGAGAAGCAGTAATAGTGAGCGATTAAATACAGTATCCACTTTCCTTGTCTGAAAAGCAGTCAGAAAACGGAACGAAATATTCAGACTAATTCTTTTTGACTCTAACCTACTGTTACCCGACATCAGCTCGTATATTGGCTAGACCTTTCACTCATGGATAAACAGTGTTAATTACTCTTGACGCCTACAAGAATTGTGCATAACATGTTGTTCAAATGGTGTGATTCGATACAGGTGGCTATTGATGTGGTAGAGGGACTGCGATACTTGCACAGCAGGGACCTCGTGCATAGAGACATCAAACTGAAGAATGTTCTGCTTGACGAAATGGATAGAGGAAAGATCACTGATCTGGGATTTAGTAAGCCACAGGCCATGATGTGCGGCAGTGTCGTTGGAACGCCTATACATATGGCACCAGAATTGTTCAAAGGTAACACAAATTTGCTCCATATTTTTTTACCCCATCAATCAAACTTTCAGTAAATTGATGTTGTTAAGTGGGTCTAGAAAACAAGTGATAAACTATGTAGTTTTTCAACATTCTAGCATTCATAAATTGGGGACCGACATTTTACCAGAAAAGTTATAACATGGTCCTTTTACCAGACTCTATAAACAAAATTGATTGACAGATGTAATGGCGCCATTTACTTTGTTTGGTCAAAGACAATGTGTTAACGGTTTCTCAAGTTTTGTTTGTTCTAACCGCTTCCTTTTCGAATCATCCAGTAATTTAAATTTATCTTGATTGAACTATTGCATTGTGGTCTGGTAAAAGGTCACTCTGGTAAAAGTTCGGTCTGGTAAAAGACCTAGCCCCTCATAAATTAGTCATAGTTCCGTTAGCTATCGGGCAAAAATAGTAGGAATGCGACGCTTAAAAATTTCTAGCGCTCTCGCAAGTGCAATCATATCATTCATATTTAGGAAGCTACGACAGTTCTGTTGACGTATATGCTTTCGGAATTCTGTTTTGGTATATTTGCGCGGGCACTGTCAGACTGCCTCAAAACTTTGAGCAGTGCTCCAGCAAAGAGAACTTGTGGTCATCAGTACAAAAAGGATGTCGGCCAGAGAAATTAGGTGCAGTTTTTAACGAACAAATGTGGCAGCTGATGACAGACTGTTGGTCCAGCAGTTCAAATAATCGTCTCACATTAGGTGCTATTCAGGATCAGCTATTCAAGATTAAGAATCGCGAAGCTATGGCCAGGGCTAGTCAAGAAAACGCAATGAACAAATTGAGTTAGAAAACAAGGACAACTGTATCAGCTAGAGGCATAATTTTGGAAAATATTATAACAACTTTGATTATAAAAACCTTTATCTCACAATTTGACTATTAAAACTCATTAAATTCTATTTGAGCTCACCGCCGTGAAGCATAATTAGGAGCAGAAAAATTGGACAGAAAGAATAAAGTAAAAATAGCAAGCCTGTCTCCATTAATGAATCGGCGCGCAAAAAGTTGGTTTTTCTGATCGAGCTACTCAAGAAATGAAACTTTGAATAATTTCAAGTTAATCCATATCGTGAATCGGTTGGCAAATTATTGAAGCAAGCTCTTCATTCTAGACCTACAACTTTGAAAAGCTTATCTGAGCAAACTAACCAACAGATTAAATTTTTTCATATTATTTTAACATGACGAAGAAGAAGAAACACTCTAATTACTATACACAAAAGTCGTTGCATTAGTATATTAACAGTGTAAAGTTCATATTAGTAACTTTATTAGTAAACTCCACACCACAGCTTATGATTGCTTTACAAAAAATTTTTAAAGCAATTCATTGAGCGAATCCTATTCAAATGAAAAAGTAAGGAGAATTTGAATTTGTTTTTTCAAATGTGCCAGTCGGTCATATTTGGAAGTGTGAACTTGAGCCACGCAAGAAACGTGATTTTGGGGTGAAATGAAATTTTTCAAAAATTCGAATTGGACATGTCATGCTCAAGTTTCTCGCGACAACTGAAAATATCAGAAGAGATAAGATCAGAAGAACCGAGATCAGAATATCATACGAGAGTAGAGCTGTCTTATTCTTGACAGAAGTCAGAAAGCAATCACGAGTGGAAGGAGAGCAAATTCGAGTGAACCAGAGTGAAAGGTAGACAACCGAAGTCTCCCAATGGTCCAGCCCAAAAAACGTATTTCTCAAGTCAAAGATCATTTCTCAAGCTGGACCTTGTTAATTTAAAACTCCTCGAATCAAACTTAATTCCCTAGTCATTCTGGAGTTACTGGTTAATTTAGTTACCCAAATTCCAGAGTGTGCCGGTACGTGAGTACCCGAATTAAATTTCTTGAATGTGTTTTATATTCTTATGTTGAGGTAAGGAGAGTTTTAGGTTGATCCGTCTGAAATGGATCAAAGTTCCACTGTCTAATAAAAAGTAACTATGCGGACTGTTCCGACCCTGTTTTTAACGGCGTTCGCGTGTTTTAGGTATTTTGAGACTTAAGCATGGGGGCTATTTTGTTTTCTAGAGTGGGGTTATTTTGGTAGTGGCCTCTAAGCTGTAACAAAGGTTTTAGTTTCATGTCGCAAGTGAACCGAATTGGCTCCGACCGTTTGAGGTAGAAAAACACAAGAGATAGTGTCCCTGACTCTTAAGCCAATGGTTATAGGGCCTAATTTTCTTTGACCTCATATGTGACTTAATTAGGCGACTGTTACATAGTGTTTTTATGGCGCTCCCGGGTGTTTTTACGACATCACGACTACGGGATCAAATCCACTTGACACATCTCCGGGCTACATGCCCATTCTAGAGTAGCGGTGGTACGGTTCAGCGGGAACGTGTAAGCCTTCCGGTTGTACCGTGATAGCTTTTTAAGAAAACTCGAGAAAATTTTCTGGTACGCTCACCAAACGCGGCCTAGCTAACCGAGTAATGTGACATTCGACCAGAATGGGCAAAATACAATCTGTGCAGTTTAGGAATTTTTAGCAGCGAACCTTCCGAGTTGGTGATTTTGAAGGATTAACGACGTTATTCGGATGATTGGTAGAACGGTGAAGGTCAAGATGTTCTGGTGTTTTGAAATTTTAAATTTTCGACGTGATGACGTGGCATTTCTGAGAAGCGTCAGAAACGGCCATTTTGGCGAAAGAGCTAAAAAGAAACAGAACAACATTAATAGCGATTGCGAGAAGAACGGAAATAGTGATTAAGAAACGACAACGAATCACGGAGTTAACAAAGAACGTTCCGACTTGCAACTATTGTGTCGCTACAATAGTTGCAAGGCAGTTGCTAACAACAGTGAGGGGTGGAAACCAGCCTTCCGGATTACAGAGAAATCAAGCTTAACATGCTTGATTCATTGGATTCGAGAATCCGGAGGGGTTTCGGGACTGAGACTTTTATCATTTTATATGAACTTTTAGCTTCCCTGTCATGTCCTGAATTGAATTTAATTAACATCCGAATTCATTCTACTAAGATGAGAAGCTAGGAGTTGGGGGAAAGGGTTGATCCATCTTCGATGGAGATGATGATTTTTATCTACTGAACAAAAACAATAATAATTCAATAAATAGAAGTAGCCCTGTTTTTAAGAGTGACCTCGTGGTCTGGGGATACTGAAACCCAGCCATGAGCTCACTATTTCTGCATGTAGTTAAGTTAATTTGAGTGTTTTGACCGAAGCCGAAAGCAGTAACGTTTTTGTCGACCCGATGTTAGAAAAGACCACCGAAAGTACTGGCTTGGTAGAGACGGTGAAAAGCATGCAAAGCTCTGTTTAGACGTTAGCCAGTCGTCTTAGGACTTAGTTTTGTTTTCCGTCGATATGTATCTTCCGGGCGAATGTTACTTAGATGTTTTTATGGCGCTCCTGGGTGTTATTCTTTTTTAACATCATGACCGGCAGAACCGTTAACGAGCACTCCGCGCCGAGCGGATGCTCACATTAACGCCCTTAATAGGCCTAAACCGCCGGGGCGGAAGAGTAGTTCGGAACGCGGAAGCCTTCCGGATTATCGTGAATAGCTTTTTAACCTAGTTAAGACCGAAAATTCACGAACCAGGAAGGGTGGGGGGATTCGCGGTCCCGTCCTCTCCTGAATGGTTTGTGACCAAAAACACTTAAAGATATATAAAAAACCAAACAAAAAGTAGTATAGTACCCAAGAAAAACAAAAAACTTAAAAAAATAACCAAAAAAACCAAAAACAGTAAAAAAAAAGTAAAAAATCAGTAGAAATCATCACCCCAGACAAGATGTGATCCGACCCCCCCGTTTGTTGTTGATAGATATATTGTTGATACAGGCATTTATATCAGTCAGGATTGTTACGATAAGTTTTGTAGCCCGTTTGTGAGGCTTGTACTGTAGGGTTATTTGAGCATTTAAGCACGTTAATGATAAATTGCGCTCAATCCGGAAGGGTCAGCTGATTTGCGCTCAATTTGGAAGGAGTCAGAAGACTGATCCGGCAAGCAGTACAAGGAGCAACAAGAAGGGGCTCAACGACAACAACAATCGACTGTTGGGTATCGTTAACAAGTTTTGTTTCCCTTTTGGTACAAAAATTAAGATAGTAATCTGTGGGGGGCTCGACAGTGCTGCACTGTAGTGACCCTTCACCGAACTGCGAATATCCGAGTTAAGCACCTTAATTCGGATATTAAACAAACCCGGAGGGGTATAGTATTACTACTATTATTACTTATATAGCCTATATTAATACTCCTATACCGTTTTTCAGTGAAAAACGCAGAAAGCAGACCGGTTTTTAGGGTCAAAATAGCGATATTTTGATCCCCCCACAAGTCGCGATTTTTGAGATATCGATATTTTTTTGAAACGGAAAAAAGCGCTAAAAAAGTTTGTTACATCGTAACTGCACTACTATAATAGATAAAACCGGTTAAGTTTAGTTCAGAAGTGGTTGGAACTATTTTGGTACCGAAAATCGAAATTTCGTGATTTTTGAGAAAACTAAACACTATAAATTCAGAAAATTTTTTGAAATTTTTGAATTACAACAGTAAAAAATAGTTGTTCGGACAACGTCCACTAGTGAATCTAAAGTTTTAAAACCCGCTACCCGAAAGCCTTCCGGGTTGCAGAGAAATCGAACTTAACGTGTTTGATTTGGTGGATTCATCAATTCGGAGGGGTACAGGTAGCATAGTTTTTCTCAAACTTTTTCAACTAAAGCGTTTTAGATCGGGTCTTTTGCATCGAACTAGAAGAGTATAGGCCTTCTGAGCTCGGATCAATAACTTTTAGGTCGAAAGGACCAGATTTGCGGAAAAAGTTAGGCGGAACCTATAAGAGAGAAATTTCTTGAGTTTAGAAAAAAGACGTTTTGGTTAATAACTTTGGAACTACTGGGCATATCCAGTTGATCTTGGTACCAATAGATCAGAAATTAGCTGGACTTACTGATAGGGACAAAAGTTTTTCGAAAAAGTAAGCGTGAAAATTTTTTGAGGTTGTTTTTTAGCAAATTCACCAATTTGGGAGGGTAGACCCTTCACGTTTTATAAATTTCTTTTAGAAAAGCCCTTATACCCCTACCAAAAGGTAAGAGGGGTTGAATAAAGTAATTTTAGGCTGTTCTAGACGAAAAGAAAGGCTAAAGGCCCAGCAAAACCTTAATCGAGCCGAAGTTAGGCGAGCGATAAGACCCTTCACCGTTAGCGTGAATTGTCAAATAAGAGGCTTAACTTCAATCCGGAGGGGTCTAGGAAAGCATTACATATCCTTCCTAGTTAATCAAAAAAGCACAATAGCATCGGAAAACGTATCCGGAGGAATATAGGTTGAAAGAAGGAGATCTCCGAAGAGCTACTTTGACAAAACCGGAGGGCTCCCAATCCGGAGGGTCAAAAAATATTTCAAATAAGGAGGGGTCCGAATCCGGAGGGGTCTTATAGTTGCTAATTCAGAGGGGTCCAAATCCGGAGGGGTCTTATATTAACTAACTCAGAGGGGTCCCAATCCGGAGGGGTCTAAATTTTGTTAGTCCGGAAGGGTCCTATTTGTGCCAATCCGGAGGGGTAATATTTTATTAAAGGACTTAGGTAGACGGAAGAAAGACTAAAGTGAGAGGTATTAGGTTATTAGCAGACAGGCTGGGAATCAGTGACTGCCACTGGTAACTTGCCTTTCAATAAAAACCAGACCAAAACAAAACTGGTCCGAACTCGGATATTCGCGACACTAAGTCTAACTAAAAAGAGCGTAATTCATTGGTGTGGATTGTAACACAATACGTTTTTGTGAAAAGTGACTGCCCTGAGGATTGTAGTAGGTCTAGCTCGGGCAGTCCGAAGGCAGATAGGTAACACAGTACTCGGTGGGTGCAATAGACGCCCACTTGAGAAAATTACTGCCTTCAA